CGAACAACTTGCATTGCCCTCCACTGGACTCTCTCCAATTTGTCCACGCCTTTTTGTAGTGGGGGCCTCAAAACTGAACACAGTACTCCAGACGTGGCCTCACCAATGCTGAATAGAGGGGAATAATCACTTCCCTTGACCTGCTGGCAACACACCTACTGATGCAGCCCAGGATGCCGTAAGTCTTCTTTGCAACAAGGACACACTGTTGGCTTATATTTAGGGCCCTGAAAAAATTGCAGATGCCTTGTACAACATTTGTGGCACATGCATGGGTAAAGTATCGTTTTACACGGAATATTTGCGGAACTACCACTGATCTTGGCAAATGGGTCCTGGTAGTTCTGTGAATATTCTGTGAAAAATGATACTTTACCCATGCACGTGCCACATGTACCATAAGTAGTGGGGGAAAATATTATTTGGGTGGGCTGAGCCCGGCCTGACCCTGCCCCTCCCTCCTGCGGGGCTGGCATACTGAACGCCACCATGCGCTGCAGGACGGTGGTGCCACGGTGCTGCTGCTGTTGCCAGCAGTGGCAAAAAGTTTTGGGGGGCTAAGCCCCATTAGTCCTGGCCTTCCACCACCTATGGCAGGCACACCCCCCCCCACCCCAACAATCCCCAAGCCCTGGCTCTCCAAACCCCCTTCCCCTCCCCTGCTCCATATACACTTACTTTCATCCAGCTGCCTGGCTGCATCCTGGCCATGCCCTCAGGAATTGCTTCCAGGCTGGAAGGCTGTGAAAGCCCAGGTTTCTTCTTGCAGACTGGCATATTGCCAGTCTGCAAAGGGAAACCTGTGCTTTTGTGCATTTTTCTGGCACAGGCTCACAACCCTTAAAAATTGCCGTTTGGGGCTAATTTCATGGTGACCGTGACATCGCAATGCTCTCAGGGCCCCATTCATATTCAGCTTATTGTCCACTGTAACCCCCAGGTCCCTTTCTGCAGAGATTTCTTTTGGCCCAATCCTCCAATTTGTCTAGGTCACTCTGAATCCTAGCCCTACCCTCCAGCATATCTACTACTTTTTGCAGCTTGGTGCCATATGCAAACTTGCTGAGCATGCACTCTGTGCCATCTTCCAGGTCATTGATGAAGAAATTGAATAAAAATGGCCGCAGGACTGACCCTGGGGCACTCCACTTGATACCAGCTGCCAACTAGACATCAAGCCATTGATTACTACCCTCTGAGCCCAATGCTCCAGCCAGTTTTCTATCCACCTTACAATCTATTCATCCAGCCCAGACTTCCTTAGTTTGCCTGAGAGAATTTTGTGGGAGACCGTATCAAAAGCCTTGCTAAAATCAAGACAAACCACATCTACAGAGCCAGTCATCTCATCACAGAAGGCAATCAGATTGGTCAGGCATGACTTACCCTTGGTGACTCCATGCTGACTGGTCCTAATCACCTTTTTCTCCTTCCAGGGCTAAGAACTTCATGGAGTACGCAAGGCCAGAGGGAGCGTATTTTCTGTATTTCACCCATCCATTAACTCAAATAACATGTCTAAATAAATTAGTTAAATAACTTGTCTGGAATTATCTTTTCCAGAAAAGCACCCAACTTGGGTCTGCCTTTTGGCTAACCTCGCAGTGAAGCACCTTTGTGCCCCAGTCAACCCCTCCACAGCACACTGAGCCAGATTGGAGAGTGCGGCTTCTCTGACCCGGCTCAATGTACTGCGGTCCTGGGTGCACGTGTAAATGCAATGCCTGGAAGCAGTAAACTCCTGCATTAATATGCATGTGTAGATGTGCCCAGTATTAATTTCTCTCTTGATCTTCTGATAACCAAACAGATCAAGCTCTCAAGTCTCTCACTAAGACATTTTCTTCATCACTGAATCATTCAAACTCTTCTTTGTGCCCTCTACGGTATTTCAACATCTTTTCTTAAAAATATGTACTTTCTTTGTCTAACTAAAATTGTTCATAGAAGAAAAAAAACCTCACATTTTTACCACAGCATTGCAATAGGATAAGAGTGTGCAATTATTTGGTGTAGACGGCCATTTAAGGGGTTTTGGTGAACTGTTGTGGGTAGGGCTGGGATCATGGGGTGGTGACAATGCGGGGCTGGGGCCCAGAGCCTGGGGCAGAGATGCAATCCACTCCTGTAATGTCTCTGTGATAGGCACTGGTTCCGCAGGCAGGGAGTGGATTGCAGCTCTGCCCAAGACCCCAGCCCTGCACTGTCACTGTCCCAGGATCCTGGCCCGAGGCCCATCCCTTCAGCCCAGCCAAGTGTGCCCTGCCTGTGGGGGTCCCAGGCCAGCCACCATGGAGACCCTGCCCACTGGCAGGGCAGACAGGCCAGGGTGCCCAGGCATCTGGGCCAGGCCCAGTAGCTGTAGCTATACAGGCAACAGCAGCCAGAAAAAAAAACTACTACTGCGGGCACTGGCATGTAGCTTCATCTTGCCTTTTACTACTGTGAAGCTGAGTGTGGCTGGGGCGCCCCACATGCTCAGGGTGGTGGGGGGACTGGCCGCAGGCACCAGTGTAGGCTGCCCCTCGTGCCTGGGCTGGGTAGGGCTGAGGAACCCACTGCAGGCCAGACAGAATTTCTTGGTGGACTGAAGCTGGTCCAGGGGCTGTATTTTGCCCAGCCCTACAATAGGACCTCATGTTCAGTTGCTTGTTAATAATGATCCCTAAAATCCTTTTGCAAATCACAGCTTTCCAGGACAGTCCCTCGTTCTTTAGGAATGAAGAAGACAGGCCATACCTAGGTGTATACATTGAAATTCTGCTGTTTTAGAATGCATTTTATATAAATGCTCCCAGCCTACCAAGAAAAACAGATTACTATCTTACCACCTTCTCCTTACACATATCATTTAGTCAATCTTTGTGCCACTGATAAATTTTATTGGCAGTGATCTTATATTGATTTCCAGACCACTACTTAAAATATTGAATAGCATACATCATGGAACCAGTTCTGCAGAACCTCTTTAGAAACATCCTCAAGCCAATGACTTCCCCTTGACAGATCTCACAAAAGCAGTTAGCAATGGTACAGCAATTGCTTAGGGTCAGTCGTGAACTGTAGGCTCCCACCATTGATCTGTTGTGGCAACAGCATGGAGGCAATACTTAAATAGACATGACCCTATGAACTTGTCAGATGTAGGAAAACGAAGCAGAACTTGTACCTTCTGCCCTTGGAGGTAACCTCCTAAAGTTTATACTTTATATCCTTTTATTTTGTAAACAAGAATGTAATTTTTGCAGTGGGGTGGACTCAGAGCTTACTGACAAACTAACAATAAATAAACCTCAGACAGCACATCAGTTTTGTTGTGCGATGCGGTATCAGACACATCAACAGTATCATGCAACTTGTTTTGTAGTAAGCACCAGGGCATTGGCCTGTAGCTTCATCTGGTCTTTTACATGACAGCTGTTATTGAATAAAAGGTGCTAAGAAATGTTTAAAATAATGTGTCTGACCAAAACATGCAGGGCTGATGCACCTGCACTTGTAGGTATCAGGTAAGGCAGGAATGGGCAATTATTTGGGCTAGAGGGCCACTTAAGGAGTTTTGGTGAACTGTTGCAGCCTGGGGCAGCAGCATCCCTCTGCCCCATGCTGGGTCAGCACCCAGCCCCTCTCACCCACCCTGCAACAGCTCATCAAAATTCCTTACATGGTAGATTACTAGGCCCAGGAGTGCATCAGTTCTGCCCGTCTCTGGCCCTGCGCGGCAATTCCAGCCCTGGCCCCTGGGTCTCCATGGAAACCAGCCCAGGACCCCCACAGGCAGGGCGCACACAGCTGGGCAGATAGGAGGAGATGGGATGAAGCCACAGGCAGGTGGGGTATGGTATCTGGGAGCAGGATAGGTAGGTGGGGCCAGGGACAGAGCCACGATCAGCTCCCCGCACGCCCCTGCAACAGGCACTGGGTCTGTAAGAAGGGACATACGGGGACCAGTACCGGACCCCAGCTCCACACTGTCACTGCCTAATGATCCTGACTCTGGCCCCGCCTGCCCATCCTACTCCCAGACACTGCTCCCCATTTGTCCGCAGCCCCATTCCATCTACCCAGCCAAGCACATCCTGCCCACAGGTGTTTTAGCCAGTCTCCATAGGGACCCTGCCCGCCCACTCTGTCCAGCACCTCTGGCAGTGGGTGTGGGGCAGACAGGCTGGGGGGCCCAAGCAGCAGGGCCCGGGCCCGCAGCCGGCAGGGGCCACTCCCACGAGGCGGGAGCCACTCCTGCTGAGGCTGCGGGGAAGGGGTTGTGGCGGGACCAGCTGCACACATCATGGCCTCGGCTGCCTGCCGTGGGCTGGATAAAATCCCTTGGCAGGCTGGATCTGGTCCATGGACCATATTTTGCCCACCTGTGACTTCAGGAAACATAAGGTAATCCAATGAGCAATTTCTTAACTTGGAGGGGCTGAAACTGAGAGCCAAGGCTCCAAAGGTATGCTTTACTGGCTTCCTAGTAACAGAGAATTTATGGTAGCTGGGATATGCAACATAAGTGGCTAATATGTTATTACGTAAAGAGCTTCAGGAAGAACATTAGAACCTATGGCTAGATTCTGATATCCTGATTCACAATTATGCATATTATTGATAATAATGTACATTATTCACAATTATTCCTACCACAATTCCTACGGACTTCAGGATACACTTGTGAGAAGTTTAGTCAGAGCATTAGAATGTGGCCACAGGGATATCAGAGAAGCTAATTTACAAGGAGTGCAAGAGGTATGAATCTTGTGATAAAGAAAATGCATACCAGTCCCTTTAACTGCCTCTTACATACAGCATCAGCCAGGACACACTGGCCACTACCTAGGCCTAATGAGGATGGCTATGCTTTCTCCCTGCAACAGTTCTTAAGTATGAATGAAGTGCTAGCAACAGATAAGGTTAGAATAGGATGGTTGCAGTGGATGAGAAGAAATGAGGCAGCCACAGTATTCAAATATAGGAAAAAAAAGGGAACCACTACACATGGAAGCTTTCACTCTTAAATTTTAATTAAAAAAAAAAAAATCTAGAAAACATTACAAACTTGATTCTTTGGCAAATAATAACAACAATAAAAAAACGTCAGGAGGCCCTTGCGGCTCAAGTCGCATACCTCAGAAAGGCATCAACTTGATGACATCATGTTTGACAAGATGGTATAAAAAAATTACAGCAGAAAATTCCAAGAAACTAAATCAACTTTTCACACTCAAAGTCGTCTGCCCATAAGCATGTGTTTTTTGGGGACAAGGGATGAACGTAAGATAGAACATGTTTAATCAATGATCTCACATCTAGTAGGGAAGGGACAGCAGAGCTGGACACATTAGGAGACAAAGGAAACATCTCTGCCACACACTGAAATTAATTTGCAGATTTCCCTAAGCAATGCTGCTTCTTGTTTGTCGTGGGATGCTGGGAAAGAGATATATGAAGCCTGTTCTTTAAACTCACCTTTATAACCTAGAATCAGTCATGGTCATAACACTACTATGCTGGCTGATCTCTCTATATCAACAGATCCGTAGTTCATTCTCCAAGCCATAGATTTTTGCCTTCAAGTTTCTTAGTTCTCCTTGAATTTTGCGAGTTCGCCTGTTGCCTTGGCGTACCTCATGCAGAATAGCAAGGTCTTGGTCTGGTCCAATATTCATGGTCACCTAGAGAGAAGAGGGGGTGGGTGGAAATAAAGCTAGGAAAATTCTTTCTTGGAGTGTGATCTGGGGAGGATTATAAAGCAAACATTCCAGTCATGGCAAGAAAGCACTCAAACCAGCATAGCTAACTGCATTGATAGAAACAAAAGGAGGCGTACCAGGACAGAGAACTGAGAATAGAAGCATTTCTTTAGCATCAGAGAGAGATACAACACCAATTGAGTGAAAGAAGAGTTCACAGAGTATACCGTGAAATGTATCAGTAAACAGGTGGCTTGTTTAAACAAGCCATAGCCAGGATTTATTTTATTTTATTTCACTTCACAGGGACTCAAATACAATGCGACTCATTCAACCACAGTGTGATTCTCACTCATATATAAAAACCAGGTTTTTATTCTGTGTTTATATCTAAATTATAATTATCAGGACAGATGCTTTACTGCTGGTGCTGGAAAATTGTAACTTGAAAACTGCACTAGTATTTTTGATTTTGAATGACAACGGTTCAAGATTATACTAGCTGTATTCTCCAACTTGTATTTTAAACTGTATTTCTGCACCCCATCGTGGTCAAGTCTGTCCAGAGACTAGGACAATACAATTAAGCCTCCACCTTCCCAAAACAGTTATAAACATGCTAATATTACAAAAGCCTAAATCTGTCTGTCTGCCCCTAATGCTTTATTTGCACTCTGACTGGCTGACAAACAGCCGCCCGGCCCAATGTGGCCGCGGCAGCAGCTGGGGGAGGGAAGGAGCAGCCCTCCTCCCTGGGGCCCACTCCTTCCCCACGGTGCCCCTGAGCCTGCTCCTCCTGTCCCCAAGCAGGCCCAACATGGGGGGAGAACCAGGAGCACTGTGGTGTCGGCGTTGATGGTGGGGCCAAGGGGGGACTGGGCCCGGGTCCAATGCGGGGTTGGGGAGCAAGCCCAAGCTGGGGGAAAAGCCAGCCCGCTGCGGTGGGGTGGGGGAAGTGGGCCCAGCCTGACCTGGCCCAACAAGGCAGCTGCAGGGGGAGGGGAGGAGGCTGTCTCCACATCAGGCCCGGGCCCACTCCTCCCTTCCCCCTGCCGCTGCCCCCCCATCATTCTTAATGGGCAGTTGGCTAGTTTGAATAATAATCTGCTTCTGCAAGTTAACCATTATTTTCCTTGTTTTTAACATTTGAGTAACCTGCATGCGTTAACCCACAATGTCAGACTGTACATTCTGTGTAAGACTACCTACGATGACTTCTGTATTAAGACCTAACTTAGCGCATCAATAACCCAAACTTGTTCATACTGAAGTTTTGGCATTTAAGGCTAAAAATAATGATTAGATAATCTAGTCTGAACTTTTGTATGTCACAGGCAATTAGTTTTCATCCAACTACCCCAATCTGGATTAATCAAGTCCAAAGACTTTCATTAATCCAAATCATTCTAGTCCTCAAGGGACTGAACTGCACACCACAGGACAGGAGAAGCTAAGGCATCACTATAGTGCCTGATGCTCCTACAATGGCAAGGAATTAAGATATGCTCCAGTGTTACCAGCAGACCAACCATGTCCCATGCTGCAGAAGGAAACAAAAAGAAACCCCAAAACAAATCCTAAAGTCCCTGATTAATCTTGGGAAAAAATTCTTTCCAATCTCAGATCTTGTGATCTGCAAAACCCCAAGCAAATACATCAAGCATCAGACCAACTTCTAGAAAAACTGGTCCATACCACCTCAGAGCACTGATCCATGGAGTCTGGTGACCAAGCCCAACTGTGGCCAATCACAGGTATTTCTGGAAGGGAAAACCCCAAAATCCAGAATACATGCATCTAATCTTGTCTCAGTGAGGAGTGTGGTGGGGATTAGTCTTCCTAACCTCTGCTGGTGAAAGGCTGAAGCAAGACACTGCTCAGATCTCTTGCTTCATTTTCACCAGCAGAGGTTAGACAACCTGTTTTTTTTCCTGATAAAAATATCCCAAATGCTCTGATTAAAAAAAATCTGCATTTTTCCATGATTAAAATAAAATACCTCTGCCCCTGGCCCTGCTATTGCCCCTCACTCCCAACCCAGAGCCCACTGGCCCTGCTGTCACTTCTCACTCCCAACCCAGAGCCCCCTGGCCCCAGCCCCCCAGTATGCTAGGAAGGGGATGGGTGTATGGGTAATAGGGTGGGTTAAGTCTATCCCCATAGACTTACCTGCAAGGAGCTGCGGGAGCAGTTCACCACCACCCTCCCTGGCTGCCACATGCATGTACAGATGCATGTGGCACCCCTTGCATCCCACTCCCCACCAGCCCCAAGGAGCTCTGCCAGCCTGCAAGGGGAAACCCACTGTTTCCTAGGTTTTTCATCCTGTAAAGTAGAACATCTGTGTTTTTCTCCTTTAAAGGGGAAAATTCATGTTTTCCCATAGCAAATGGAAAACATGGAACCCTGGTTATTCCCTTAATACAGAGCTGCAAGTGTTATGAGCATACTGAGGAATGCAGGCTATCCTGTTTTCCACAAATGCCTTTGAAAAAGGTGATGAAGTAAAGGACTCAGATTCACAAATTCCAAAGCCAGAAAGCACTACCAAAACTAGCCCACCCCACTTAAACAGACAACAAAAGTTGTCGCAGATGCTGGGTTTAAGCATGTCTTTTAAAAAAAAAAGCTCTTTCATCTTAATGACTCCAAATAATGAATCCATCAACTTCCCTTGTTGAATTGTTCTGATGTATAATTAGTCTCACAGCTGGAAAATTATATCTGAATTTTAAAAATGTAATGAATTTATCTTCAACTTCCAACCACCGGAGATTTTTAGGCTTTCCTGAGCACAGATGAAAAGCTGTCCACTATCAGACATATTTTGCAAAGGTAAGCATCTATACAGTGTAACCCAGTCACCTTTCAACTTTTCTTCAGTTGATGGCTAAGCTTTCATTGAACTGAACTGGAACAAGATCAGTTCCCAGAACTGTTAGGAAAAAAAAAAAAATCAAACATTTTTGCCACATTACACACACACAAGAGGTGGCAGTTGATATTCAGCTGCCTAACAGCCATATTAGGAGAATTGGCTTGGAAATATCAGACGAAAAGCACAAGAGAAACGTAACTGGGTGCATTAATTACATCAGCTATATAATCATAAGTCCCTAACAATATGGATGCCTAATAAGAGAGAAAGAGAGTGCGTTAAAAATTGTAACACTCCACACCAAAAGATAATGGACATTATCAGTTTCTAAAGACTCAATTTAGGAAAAATAGGAATTCCCAACACATTTAGAAACTTAGAACACACCAGTGTGGACTAATTACAGCTCAGTCCTCTCCCTAACCACAATCAACGATTACCTTGAAGAGCTGTTTCTCTACATCCTTCAACCTCTGCCGAAGCTGCTTAATGTCATTCTTGAAGCCTTCTACTTCCATGCTACGCCGTTTTTCCAGGGCCTCATATCGTTGCGTCATCAGTTGCAAACGCTTCCCCATCTTTTCTGAGCGTTCCTGAGGATGGGGGAAAAAAAGAGTAGGATTTCTAGGATAAGGCATCATGGAGTCTCTCTAACACACACACATGCTGGGGCTCAAATAGCTACCTACACTGGGATGCAAGCCCATCATACAATTGGCAACAAGTAACAGAGGAATTACCTTGAAGAGCTCTCGGCCAACATCCCCCTCTTCACGAATCCTAGCCAGCTCACCCTCCAGGGTAACACATTGCTCTCGGTACATGCTTGCCAGTCTCTGCTCCTGTATTAACTGCTCCTGCAATGACTAAATCCCAAAAGCAAGGACTAGGATTAATAAATGGTGGAAGCAGGTAGTCAGTACACATAAAACCTCCCTCCCCAAAGAATAAAAGGTGGGACAAAGGCTATTCCCATAACAAGTTAATAGGGGTGCACTGATAGAGATTTTAGGGGCCGATACCAATTTTTAAGGAGGCATATTGGCTGATACCAATCCAATTGCCAATATAATTGCATGCAGCTGCTAAATCTGTTGTGGTGAAAGGGGAGGGGGGAGGGAAGGGCATGGGGGGCAGATGAACACCCCACTGTGGTGAGGGAGAAGTGGGGCAGGGCAGGACGCGGGACGGAGGCGCAGCTCAGCCGGGGGTCGTGGGGGGGTGGCTTCAGCTGCTGCTTGTACCCCAGGAGGACACAGAGGGACAGCATGTGTCCCCAGATCTGCATAGGGTGGGGCTGTGCTGGGCTCTTCTTGGCAGGGGCTGGGTATGGGGCGGGTGGTGGCGGCACTGGGAGGGAGACTACGGGGGGCGGGGACTACAGCCACGCCAAATTTCGCCCTAATCCCCACCATAGCTTGCCTCCTAGTGCTGCTGCCTGCCCCAAGCCCAGACCCTGCAGAAAAGAGTCCAGCACAGTCCTGGCTCCAGCCCACAGCTGCAGCCCTCCCATCCCACCCCATGCAGATCCAGGGGCACATGCAACCACCCCCAGCCCCCCAGTGCCCTCCCAGGGTACAAGGAGCAGCAGGAGCCACCCACTTCCTCCCTGACAAGCTGTGGCTCCGTCCCACATCCCACCCCAGCTGGGCAGTGTCTGCCCCTGCCCCACTCCCTCACTGTGGGGGGTGTTGATCTACCTCCCACACCGCAGTCTTCCCTCCCCCCTCCCCTTCCACCACAATGGACTTACCAGCTGCACGCAGCTCTCCAAGCTGTCGGGCTGTGCTCCTCACTGCCTGCATGCTGTGCACATGCACAGGAATTTATCAGCCAAGTCTAATACAGTCAATTTTCTTTATATTGGTGCCGATCCAATATCAGACCAATGTATCGGTGCACCTCTACAAGTTAAGTAGAGATATAACAAATAACAAGCCCAATAACCTGGTAAGTGGCACTGTGCAGGCAGCCAGACCAGAAAAATTAAAGGTCTAACCACAAGATTTGAAATATAAAAAAAACTCCTTTGATTACATAATTAACTCCCTATGTGGTTCCTTCAGTGAGACAGTAAAACAAACAAGAGAGCCAAACGGAAAGGGTGTGGACACACAAACATTACTGATTGGGAAGTGGTTCACAATTGTATTAAGTGCTGCAACTCCAACACCACAGGGTGGGAGCAAGCACCCATACCAGTGCTCCTCACATTGGGTGAGAGGGAGAAGAATGCTTGCACCCACTTTGTGCATCCCAGGGGGTGGATGACGAGTAGCTGAAGGCATTTTTATGTTTCTGCTTTGCCTTCTCCTAAATTTGAGTTCAATAAACTTCAATAGCCTGTGACTGAATGAAGTCTGCAGTGTGCTTGTCTGACTTGAGTGGCAGAGTGGGTGCTTAGACCCAGCCTTTTTGGTTCCCAGGACCTAAGGGACAGGGCACATGATGCTGTTCTGCAGTGGAGTTAGGAGTGAGGACCCAGCTGGTGTTAAGAAGATAGCTTTTATTGAACAAGCAGTGCAAAAGCAGAATTTTGGGTGGCAGTTGTCATTTAAGTGAAGTCTACTGAAGAATGAAGAATCATTATGAAGAGTCCTAACTGTAGAACATTTCATCCCTCAGTTTTGTAAGCTATACAATGTCCTGCAAATCAAATCCTGTTACAGCAAAGCTAGCATAATCAATATATCCCATGTGAACCTTTCAGCTTTGAAACACAGAACATGTGTTTCTCAGTAAAGAACCAAGTAAAGATACCATCTTAGATACTCTCAAATCTCCATTCAGAAATAAGTAGATCTCATTACAGAGGGAATAGCGATTACCTTGATTTCTCCACTCTGTACTTTCTGAATTTCACGATCTGCATGACGAATCAGCTTGATGTCTCTCTCCTTTCTCTCCCTCTCTGGCTCCCTGCTGATGAAAACCACGTCCCGGCCTTCATCAAGTTTCCTCAATAAACTGTCCTTCTCTGCCATCCACGCTTTCTCATTTGCTCGTGAATCAGACTTCAGCTGGAGAAAGTCCCGTGTGCTCTCATAGAGTAGGTTCTGGGTCTTATGGAGTCTCAAAACAGGAATTAAAAAAGAAAATGCACTCCCTCCACCAATACCCTCCTTTGTTCCCCTGTATTCTCATTAGGAGTCAGAATCATAGAATAACAGAAAATTAGGGTTGCAAGGAATCAGGTGGCCATCTAGCTCAACCCCCTGCTCAAAGCAGGAGCATCCCCAACTCTCTCAACCCAGCCAAGGCTTTGTTTACCTAGGTCTTAAAAACCTCCAAGGATGAAGAGTCCACCACCTCTCTGGGTAACCTGTTTTAGTGCCTGTTCCTGGAACCTTCTTTGTAACCACCCTTCCCATAACTGAAAGCTGTTATTAAATCCCCCTTCAGTCTTCTCTTCTCTAGACTAAATAAGCCCAGTCCCCTCAGCCTCTCCTCAGAAGTCTGTGCTCCAGCCCCCTAACCATTTTTGTTGCCCTCTGCTGGATTCTCTCCAATTTTTCCATATCTTTTCTGGAGTTGGGACCCAAAACTGGACACTATTCCAGATGTGGCCTCATCAGTGCCAAATAGAGGGGAATAATCACTTCCTTTGTTTTGCTGGCAACACTCCTACTAATGCAGCCCAGTATGCTGTTAGCTTTCTTGAAAACAGGGGCACACTTAGCTCATATTCAGCCTCCTGTCTACTGTAACCCCAGGTCCTTTTCTGCAGAGCTGCTCCTCAGCCAGTTGATCCCCAGCCTGTACCAGTGCATGGGATTGTTCTGTCCCAAGTGCAAGACTTTGCACTTGTCCTTATTGAACTTCCTGAGATTTTTTTTGGCCTAATCTTCCAATTTGCCTAGATTTCTCTGAATGCTAGCCCTACCCTCCAGTATAATCTGCTACTCCACCTAGCTTCATGTCATCTGCAAACTTGCTGAGAGTGCACTCCATCCCATCTTCCAGATTGTTGATGAAGACATTGAACAAAACTGCCCCCATGACCAACCCCTGGGACACTCCACTTGATACTGGCTGCCAACCAGACAGCGAGCCATTGATTACTACCCTTTGAGCGCAAACAATCCAGCCAGTTTTTTTTTTTATCCACCTTACAATCCATTCATCCAACTCCTTAGCTTGCTTATGAGAACGTTGTGGAACCATATCAAGAAGTTGGTGCAAGTGTGAGCTGAGAAAGGATAGGAATGGCCTCAGAGTTCTGAGCCAGTTTTAAGAGCCACTTTATCCAGGGATGATGGGGTAGTTTAACCTGTAGATTTCTTAGTCCACCTCCACTTACATACCAAGCCACTGACTGAATACTGTGTTTTCTGCCTGCTATATTAAAATAAGGAAATTATTTTAGACCGCTTTACAGCCTCAATTAATACAGAGTTGTTCTCTTGTACTCACTTATCTGTCAAGCTTTTGATCTTGTCTTGGTCCCTCTGATGCTGAACCTGAGCTTCTTCGATGTGAATCCTCCTATCTTCTAACAATGCATCAAGCTGTTCCTTGGATAACCGGGTCTGCTCTTCCATTTGAGCCTGTAGAGCCTCTACCTGAATGGGCATGCAAGAAAGGCATTAAGTGAGCTCCTATACCAGATATGCTGCCATCCTTGTGAACACTGTTTAAATACCAGGTAAATATACAAACAAATAACACTCTCAACCCCTTAATACCTTGTTAGATACCTCATCCAATTTCTCACTTATAAATTTGATGTTAAAGAAAAGCCTGCATTGGAACTCTAGTTATTTCTTTAACTTATTTCTCTGTATCCTTTGTAAGTGATAGACACTTTACAATCAGTAGGCCAGATTCTTCCTTGCCTGCTATGAGACCTTGGAAGCACAGACACTTCGAAGACTACTATTTTGAATACAGCATATTAAAAAAAAAACAAAAAAAACAAAAAAAAAAACCATCTTTTGCTATAAGTGTTATGTGTTGTTGTGCTCTGGACTCACTGTGGGTAATTAATGCAAGTCCCAGTAGGGGACACGTCTGAGAATCTCAAGTCCTGAGGGAAATGCATCCACTGATTTGTTCTGGCTCCAAGAAGCCAGACAAACAATGAAGGTGATGAGTATAAACAGTCCCAATGTGGGGACACACTAAGGAAGATACAGACTGGAATAAAGAACTGGTAAACTTGTGGCTCTGCATACCAGGACTTTACAAGGCTGACTGTTAATACCTGCTAGATGTAACATGCATGTAGACTGCTTACTGTTTTATTGCATTTTCTTTGATTTGCTTTTGCCCCCACCCAAAAATAAACTGAATATGCTGAAAGCTGGATGTGACAGATGGACCCAGTCATTAGTCTCTGAAGAAAACAATACAGCAGCTAGTATTAAACTGCTAGAGACAGGACTGTTACCTTGAAATCTTGGTCTTAGGCTAGGAACAGACATTGGATAAGCTGGATAAACTGCGTCTGTGCTTGCCCTGGAACAAAAACATCCTGGGATTGGTGTGTATACACATCTCCCTTCTTATCAGGATTTAACAAGCAACTGAATGCCATGCTGCTTTTCTGCCATTGATTCAATGACATAATCCCAAGATAACTGTTCAGATATACTTTGCAACATCTTGGGATAAACTGTTAGTACCTCTTATCTGGTAACCTTTTTTTGTTTGTTTGTTTGTTTTTTAGGATTTATCCCAGGACAGCAGACGTGGATGGTTTATCCCAGGATAAATGCACTGCCTGTTTGCAGCCTTAAG